ATATGACCCTAAACTCGCCCAAGCCCCGGACCGTCCCAGAGTAGACAGCCGCACCACAGAGGGTAAGCTTGTGAGCAGACGGAGCGCACCCGGCCGCGGCTCGAAGAGAAGAAGCTGCAACAGTGTACCTCAGTGCCCGCAACTCGAAGAGTGGTAGTTGCAACATGGCGCGTCTGGTACAAGGAACAGGAGCAAATGCTGGCCGAGTAGGTGTTTCCCCTGAGAGCGGTGCCTCCCTGCTCGTTTCCTCCGGGTGGTCTGCGACATCATGTTCCACTTGAGTAGCAATATGTATAGCTAAAAACAGGTGTGAAGGATCCTCCTCCTCCTCTTTTGTTAAATGAAAACAAGGTGGTCTGGACGACCTACTTATAGAGCTCGGCCTAAGGCGGAAAGTACGGCTAGTTCCATTTTTCAGTGGAAGACATGTTTTTGGTTCTCGACGAAGTTCAGACATATTTATTTGTTGGATTTTGGAGCGAGACATTATGTATGATTACCCTAGCACTTCATCGTCCAGCACTAGTAAAACGACATATCATGTGTACCATTTATTGATTCATATGTACCCATTGCCACCCCCCAATATTTGTTTCGTGAAAAAATGGACAAGTCCTTTTTTTTTGTCGACCTTTGAGCTTCCTCGACCACTTTGTGCCTTTTGTTTTCATCATTCTCACCAGCAGCACAAAGTAGATTACCCCCGTCAAAAATATCTTGAATTTAATTTTTCTACCCGAAAAATTATAGAGATTGGCGTCACCTCAGCTATCCATGGAAAGTTGAATTTGGGGTAATTTGTCAAAGTGTTGACAGTTCCGTCGTACGAGCTCCAGCAAGAACATAAACAACTTTATCGCCTGAAAACTCTGCAAACGCCCGCAGTGGTGTACGAAAAGTTCAAAACAACATCAAGAAGCTGGGGCGACATAATTCCGTGTATAATCAAGCAGTATAGCAGACAGAAGCAGCAATCTTCATCATAGTAGAAATTGAAATGCTCATGGATTCGGACTGTTCGGAAATCTGTACGATCAGGAATTATGACTTCTTCTTCGTAGTTTCCAGGTAAAATCCAGGCGTGTTCATCCAGCTGTTGACCTTCTGCTTTTCTTGCTTATTCGTTTCTGGCCTGTGTTTTCTCTTTTTGTGACAGCAAGATCTTCTATGCCTGCAAGAATGCATTATGACAATGCTTGAAATTAAAAGTGAACTTCTACAACTACACAAGTCTTCGCCATTCTTACAGAAGCTGTTTTGTAGTATGTCTCTGTTGGTTCATCGTGTTTGATTCTTTACTCTTTTATGGTGACAGCGTTTTTATAGAAGTTCTCGTCTTCTTTATAGCGTATTTCGATTTCATTTCGACGAACTCGAAGATCTCCTCGAGAAGAATGGCAAACGCAGAAGGACCGCGCCGTGCTTTTTTGTCAGACGACGTTTTTCCACCTCCTGCCTTCTCCGAGCATGCAGCGCTGGAGCGCTGGGCGACCAAGTGCGCTATGGCGTTCTCAAACGTTACATTCTCAACTGTTAAATGAGTTTGTGATGCAAGAATGGCAACAGTGAAAGTGGCAAGATTGCAGCTTTCGCATCACAGATTTCCCACAGATTATCCTGCTGTTTAGCCCTTTGAAAATGTGTCATGCTAAGCACCTTGACCAAGTGGAGGCTGATGCCAATTTTGCATCACAAACAAGGTCATGGCGCGGGGACAGAGTCCCCGCGCTGCGACCTTGCAGCGAAGAAGAGCCACCCGCGGTGGCTTTTCTTGCCCGTGATGCGGCAGGATTTTTATTTTTTTTGCGACAGAACGGGATGGCCCTGCCGCCCGTGGAGCCGGCGCCCCCCCTGGAAAAGTGCGCCCTTTTCTGCCCCCCTCGGCGGGGCGCCCCCCCCCCCAAAGGACTCCCCACGGCCAACCGAGGGCGCGGCCTTCCTGGGGGCTGTTCTCCCGAACCAAGGCGCGCGGACCTGTTCCTGCGCCCCTGGGCGGGGCGCCCCCCCCATAGGACTATTGCCGACCAACCGAGGGCGCGGACTTCCTGGAGGCTGTCCTCCCGAACCAGGGCGCGCGGACCGACCTGTTTCTGCCTGCGCCCCTGGGCAGGGCGCCCCCCCCAAAGGACTACCCACGACCAACCGAGGGCGCGGACTTCCTGGAGGCTGTTCGCCCGAACCAGGGCGCGCGGACCTGTTTCTGCGCCCCTGGGCGGGGCGCCCCCCCCAAAGGACTAGTCACGACCAAGGGAGGACGCGCCCTTCCTTGCCCCTGTTCTCCCAAACCCGGGCGCGCGGACCTGTTTCTGCGCCCCTTGGCGGGGCGCCCCCCCCTCAAAGGACTACCCACGACCAAGGGAGGACGCGGCCTTCCTGGGGGCTGTTCTCCCGAACCAGGGCGCGCGGACCTGTTTCTGCGCCCCTGGGCGGGGCGCCCCCCCAAAGGACTACCCAAGACCAACCGAGGGCGTGGCCTTCCTTGCGCCTGTTCCGCCGAACCAGGGCGCGCGGACCTGTTTCTGCGCCCCTGGGCGGGGCGCCCCCCCCAAAGGACTAGTCACGACAAAGGGAGGACGCGTCCTTCCTTGCCCCTGTTCTCCCAAACCCGGGCGCGCGCACCTGTTTCTGTGCCCCTTGGCCTTGGCCGCACGGTGTCCGGGAACGAAGCGCTCGCAGCTGGGGCTGGCCCCTGGGTCATGGCGCGGGGACATAGTCTCCGCGCCATGACCCAGGGGCTTTCGATCGCCCCTTGGCCGCACGGTCTCGCGTGACAGACTGGGCTTCGGGTCCAAACCCCACATGACAAAGTCCGAAAGCTTGGCCGGGGTGTGTCCGAAAGTCTGTCCGGGGTGTGTCCGAAAGTCTGCCCGGGGTGTGTCCGAAAGTCTGCCCGGGGTGTGCCTGGGGTGTGTCTGGGGTATGTTCGGACTTTTTGCCTGGGGTGTGTTCGGGGGTCTGTCTGGGGTATGTCTGGGGTGTGTCTGGGGTGTGTCCGGGGTATGTTTATACCCCGCCTTCTGCTTTTTCGCCAAAAATTTGTATTCAGGTCGGGATTGAATTCCATTTGCATACCCCTGACACACCCCCGAACATACCCCCGAACATACCCCTCGCATGCATTTTTGACCAGCTGCTGCAGTTTAGATAGTAATTTATGTAACAGTTGAGAATGTAACATTTGAGAACGCCATATGCGCCCCCGGGTACTTGGAGCAATTGTTGGCGAAAATGCAGAACAAGCTGCTGCAGAAAGTTCTATCGGAGAAAAGCACTGTGAGTACTAGCCCAGCACGAGGAACATTGAATACCGGTGGAAATAATAATGCCGCTGCCGCTGCTGGAGGCCAAGAGGACCAAGGGGACCCCAGAACCACTGCTGGCGTTCTTGAGGACACCAGCAAGAACTACCGCACCCAGTTGTTTAAACGCCATGCGGAGCACTACCACTTTTGCGACCACACTGTCACCAGCTATAGCGAGAGGGACGAGCAGAGCGGAGCTGCTTCTAAGAATGTGAAAAACAACTTGCAGCGTTGCATCAACGTCGTGTGCAAAGAGGCCTGGAATGAGCGGCGACAACTGTACTGGAACCCCGTGGTTGGGAAATATTTCCAGGTGGTCCAGTGGTTCCCGAAGTTGGTCACCACATTCGACATAAATTTCCACCGAAAGGTATCCTGAGTAAAAACGTACCCACACCAGAGTTGTAATGCAGATTTGCAAAGACAGGAAGACTTGTAATGCGCATCCGCATGAGAGCCATTTCCAATCGTGTTTTGGAATTTGTGATGCTGTGAACAGGATGAGCAGATGAATCTGTGATGCGGCTACACTTGCTAACCTGCACTACGCTGCATAGTGCAACTTGTCATGCGTGACTCACAGAGCTCCTAGGTTTGTGTTGCAAAATCCTCATCCTGACTCTGGTGTGGGTACGTTTTTACTCAGGATAAAAGGACAATAACATTAACACCGAGCTGAGCAGTAATGTGCCGGCGCAAGAACAAGGTGGCGCGGCAACGAGGACCACACAGGAGTATCGCAAGAAAAAATCCCCCCTCCCCATATTGAAGAGGTAGGCTTTCGAAAATTTGTGTTGCTGATTTGAGGTCACAGACCACGTTTGTGCTGCAAGAAGACAAGGGCAGCAGCTTCCGTCCCATTATGGAGGCGGTTTGTCATGTTGTTGAGCCAACATCACGGACGCTTCTCATGCTAAGCGCCTAAGTCAAAGCATCTCTGCCCAGGCTTGATATGGGTCTGCAGTCCTCTCTAGCTAGACAGATGTGATTTGTGTACTCAAATACAGCAACACAAATTCCGCTTTCGATATGGGGAGGGGGGATTTTTCCTCACAATAAGGAGCTTTTCCTCACGCCTCCCCGGACGACGACGGACTTGGAGCTTATGGAATGCAAAAATGTCTGGGACTGGAAGAATGCAACTTGTGATGCGCATTTCAGAACACAGAAAAATCTCTCATGCATAGGTAGCAAAAGCTGCCCACTTTCTGTCACCAAAGTGGGGGATTTGTCATGCGGATTCGGCATTGCGGAAGCTTCTCGAAACCTGTGATGCTAGAGCTTCAATGCCAGACCTTGCGTGTCATGCAAAAACAGCATGAATCTTCCAGACCCAGACATTTTTACACTTGATAGAGCTTCAAGAGGAACTGATTCGCCC